ATTATTATTAAGAAAAACATACAGGTTTTTATAAAAATCTACAACAGGTTTTAGAATAAATGTGTTTACATGCTTTTATTCGTATGTACGCAAAAGAAGCAAATGTTACATAAAGTTTGACGGTAAAGAAAAAATATTGATGATGTCTTATCAAAATTATATTAGTTGACGAACTGATTTTTCTCTGAGTCAGAAAAAGTTGGTAAAGTACTAATTGATAAACATATTATTATGAAATATGAAGACAATAAAATTTCCTGACAACAATATTTATATTATCACAAAATGATAATCAAAAAACTATGCAATCTTTTCCTTTTCATCTGTATTTCATTCAACTAAATGGTAAGTTTCGAAAAGCAAATAAGTTTTGTCTCAGCGATATTTTATATAATGATTAAAATCAAACAAGTAATCATATTCTAAATAGTATTATGAATAAATTCTATAAGCTTAGTCAATATATTATAACATATAGTTTACAATTAATAACATGAATGATGTATACATTTCATCAAGCAAAGCCTTTGATTTAAGCTACAATTAAAAAAAATGATTATTTATTTTGAATGAAATACAGATGAAAATCTTTTTTTTTTTGTTTTTGTTTACTATTCAATGAACATATGAATATAATTATTGTTAAATAGTTTTTATCCTTTTCATATTTTTCTAATAATATAACTATCAATCAATTCTTTATCCATTTTCTAGCTGACATATGCAATTTCATCAACATCCTTTCATCAAATTTACAAATTTTTTGATAGAATTATTTGATGAAATTGCAAGTTAGTAAATCAGTATATTCCTGATACAACAACATGCATGTATACATACTTCTATATGCATCTTCGATTACTATCATCAACAACACATTCAATGTGAAAAGTTGCCCCTTGGCAACGACAACAATGATGACGAGAAACTATAAGATTTCCCAAGAGATATTCATATTGTAACTGAACGACATTTTATTACACGAAACATACTAAGATCAGACAACGTTAGAAATAACGTTGACATCCAGTTATTTAACTTCTATATACTTTCTTTTTTTTTCTTTTCAGATCTATAAAATATTTAAGAATAAAAAAAAAAGTCAAGAATAACAAGAATTAGGATGATGATGGAATATATAGAAAGTTTTACCTCCTAGTTCTTTTCTGTCGGCTCGATGTAAGTCATAACAAGGTCATATTTTCTCTATCGTCTTATTAACAACATGTTTTTTTTTCAGTATATAGTCACACATACATATACATATATACAAATGTATATGTCATTTTTTATAATTTTACAGGGACATTATTCGAATATACACCTCTATGTTAAAGGTACTTGAAAATAAATGAGATTCTGAGCAATTAATGGCCTTATATAGACGAACTTTCTTTTTGACAGAAACACATCAATAATCCCTGATTGTTATTACTGTGTTTCTTTTTTTTTTTGTGTATATATAGATGCTTATCGGTGTCGACTGCTGTTACTATTCTCAGTCTCACGATCACCTATTCCATTCAGATGATGCAGCAAGAATATTTGCTCGATCATGGATAAAAATCGTTTAACAAAAGTCAATAATACAAATCATACTATCAATAGTATAAATAATCAGTATTATACATCATCACCAACTATAGTAACAATACCAAATGATGATACGAACATACATGAAACGGATCGTTTTATAAATGAACGTGCATCATCAAATGTTATATCTGATTTACCACGTTCACGTAATCTTGAAGAAGCAGATGAAAGTGAACTACCATTTCCTGGTTTTGTTGATCAAGTCTTTTATTGTCTTAAACAAACAACAACACCACGTTATCAATGTTTACGACTAATAACATGGCCATGGTTTGAACGTATAAGTATGATAGTTATTATACTTAATTGTATAACACTTGGTATGTATCAACCATGTGCACATCATACGGGTTCCCAATTAACTAAAAAATGTGATACACCACGTTGTATATGGTTACAAGCAACAGATTATTTTATTTTTGGATTTTTTACTATTGAAATGTGTATTAAAATGACTGCCATGGGAATATATGGTAAAGGAACCTATTTAGCGGAAACATGGAATAGACTTGATTGTTTTATTGTTGTTGCTGGGTACGTTTTTTCTTGAAAAAACAAAAAAAAAAATTATTTTTTTTTATTTAATATTTAAAATTTATAGATTAGTTGAATCATTAATACCAGGTGATAATTTAAGTTTATCAGCTATTCGTACAGTTCGAGTTCTTCGTCCATTACGTGCCATTAATCGCGTACCATCCATGCGTATATTAGTCATGCTTTTACTTGATACATTACCAATGCTTGGAAATGTGTTACTTCTTTGTTTTTTTGTCTTCTTCATATTTGGTATTGTTGGTGTACAATTATGGAAAGGTCTATTACGTAATCGTTGTTTTTTTACAATTAAATACAACAATGATCACTGATAATACTTTATTTGAGTAGGTGTTGTTTTTATTGAAACGGAAGAAAAAATAACAAAATGAATCATTCTATTTTTCTTTTAGGGATTTTCCATATCGGCCTTTTTATATTCCACCTGATCAAGATTCATTTGTTTGTTCAAACCCTCAGGCAAGTGGAATGACAAAATGTTCAGAAATTCCTAAATTACGAAAAGGAAATATGACATGTGAACTTGATTTTTATGCAGTACATGAACAAATGTTAAAAGATCCACATAAATCAATAAATGGTTGTATTAATTGGAATCAATATTATAAATTTTGTAATGTATCGGATAAAAATCCTTATTCGGGTTCGATCAGTTTTGATAATATTGGTTTAGCATGGGTTGTTATATTTCAAGTAATATCATATATCGTTTTTTCTATATATTTATTTATTCTTTTTTGTTCTTTAGATAATTAGTCTTGAGAGTTGGGTTAATATCATGTATTATATACAAGATGCTCATTCATTCTGGGACTGGATTTATTTTGTTTTTCTTATTATAATTGGTTCATTTTTTATGATTAATTTATGTCTTGTTGTTATTGCAACACAATTTAGTGAGACAAAAAAAACGTGAAACGGAACGTATGTTAGCTGAACGAAGACGTTTTT